TTTTACTGTGCGTTAAATTAGGCCCAATGGGGTTAAATTGTCCTGGGAACTGCAGGTGAGCAGACCTAAAGAAGGAAAGGAGCACACTGTACACAGAGAGTCTCCCCACAAAGCGTTTACCCTTCTCCAGTGTCTGACTAGGGGTGTGGCTCAGTGGTACAGCCCCTGCCTAGAATCCCCCAGTGAGGGTCTGGGGGCGTGGCTCAGTGGTAGAGCCCCTGCCTAGAATCCCCCAGTGAGGGGCTGGGGGCGTGGCTCAGTGGTAGAGCCCCTGCCTAGAATCCCCCAGTGAGGGGCTGGGGGCGTGGCTCAGTGGTAGAGCCCCTGCCTAGACTCCCCAGTGAGGGTCTGGGGGCGTGGCTCAGTGGTAGAGCCCCTGCCTAGAATCCCCCAGTGAGGGGCTGGGGGAGGGTTGTGGATGAGGTAGAGCTTAGCAGAGCATTTATCTGGGGTGAGGCAGGCCAGGGATTCCCTGTGGGGACAGGGCTGGAAAGTCTTTCTAAAACACTAGGGAAGGTTGACTTCCTTCCAACACAAGTATGGTTGACTCTTGAGCTCTACCTTCTCTCCCTCCCCTCCCACCCTCTCTCTCCTACCCCGTCCCTCCCCCCAAACCCCCTGGCTCCATAAACCTAGTATGTCCTGATTGTACCCACTGTTTCCCTCTGCAGTGGGCCTGGTGACTCTCCTCTGGGTCCTAGTTTCTTCAAGCATCGCCCAGGCAAGCAAGGGACTTCCTGAGCGTGCAGAAAAATGGACAACGCTCTCTCCTCTTTCTCTCGGGCCACGCCTTCTTCCCTCTCTCTTTGTATTACTTCCCTCTCTGCTCTCCTGTGTTTATCCATCTCTTCCAATCTTCTGCATCAAGTTCGTTAGGTTTCTGAGAGAGCTTTACTCTGCAACACAGGCTGGCCTCAAAATCATGACAGAGCTGGGTATGGTGGCCCACGTTTTTAATCCTAGAACCCGGAAAGCAGAGACGAGTTCAAGGCCAGCCTTGTCTACAGAGCAAGTTACAGGACAGCCAGAGCTAGAGAATTGTCTCCAAAAAACCAAAACAAAACAAAAAAGAAAAGAAAAAAACAAGAACAGCAACAAAAATAGACAAAGTAACAATAACAAACTTTTTTATGCCCATCCAGCCTTAGCCTCCTGGTTGCTTTATAGGCAGCAGTCAGCCACACCTGGATTCTCAGTCTTTACAGTCAAGTGAACCTGAGTGTTTCTGTTTCCTCGTTAGACATGCCATGGTCCTCCCTCTGTTCTTTCATGTGTCTCTTTGTAACCATCTGGCTTCCTTCTTCCTGCCCCACTCGAGTTTCCAATAGTCACATGTCTGAGTGGCTCTCTGGGCCTCTTACATGATGAAGACGACTAGGGATACTGAGGGCTCCATTAATGGCGGTGGAGGTGGTGTGTGTGTATGTCAGGAACCAGCTGTGGGATGGTCCTCACCTCCTGCTGTGTGGCACCTCAGGACTGAATCCAGGCCATCCAGCTTGGAGGCAAGCTCCTTTCCTGCTGTACCACTTCAAAGTTCCAACCTTGCTTCTTATTGACTTGAAGCCTGGGAGAGAAGGACGGGCAATGGGATCCCGGGCTCGTTCCCCAAACAGAGGGAGATGAAGGACTTGGAAAGTGTAGCCTTCATGTAACTTTTTCTTTTGTGAAACATTTCAGGGTCAAAGCAAAGGAGGCTGTGTAAAGGATGTAACAGCCTGGGCCCCAAAGAAACAAACGGCTGTCTGTGGTGCCAAGCGGCATATCGAACACATGCTGGCAACCAGGCTCCTCAGTGTCACACATACCTGGGGCTCCTCTCAGTTCTTCTCACCCTGCCCCTACCCTAACCGTCTCCAGCTCCCAGTCTTCCCCCTTTACCCACACCCTTAGTCTTCCTTGCTAGCTTCCCCAACTACCACCCTGGGCCCATTCTGCTGGCTGTGTTCAGTCACCGCTTTCTCTCCCTGTTAGAAACCCTTGCAGATGCCTCTGGCTGTTCTCTCTCTCATATCTACAATAAAAATCTTCCCCTCAGCCATATCTCTGAGAGGTCGTGCACTTAGTTTATACGAACAGGTCTTGTTGTGAGTCACCCCGGCAAGGTTTGCACAGCGAGAGCTCCAGGGTTCAAAGAAAGGTGGACTGTGGCTTCTGAACTCAGAACCTCAGCACCTAGATTAAGTCCCACGGCTGCTTCGCTATGACAACGGACAATGTGACTTGGTCCGCTGGAATGGAGAGTTTAGGTTTCTCATTCTTGTGCTGGGGCTGTGAACCAGGGCTTTTTGCAGGTCACACAGGGCTCTGTGGCTAAGCCACACCCTTCACCCTTAGCCTAGGAGTGTCCCCACTATCGATAGGATTTCAGGAGTGAAATGTTTGATAGTCTGTGTGCTAAGATAACGTAGTTTACCAGATCTTTCTTTGTTTTTGAGACAGTTTGGTGGGTAGGAGTGCTGGCTAGTTTTACGCCAACTTGACACAATCTTGAGTCATCCAAGACAAGGGAAATGCCTCCAGAAGATCAAGCTGTAGGCAAGCCTGAAGGAGATTTTCTTTTTTTTACTTCTGTGTGCTTTGCTGTTTTGCCTGCATGTGTGTCTGTGTGAGAGCATCGGGGCCTCTGGAACTGGAGTTAGAGACGGTTATGCGCTGCTGGGAATTAAACCTCTGGAAGAGCAGCCAATGCTCTTAAAACCACTGAGCCATCTCTCCAGCCCTCAGGGTATTTTCTTAATTAGTGATTGATGTGGAAAAGCCCAGCCCATTGTGGGCGGGGCCACCCCGGGCAGGTGGTCCTGGATTCTATAAGAAAGCAGGCTGAGCAAGCCATGGGGAGTTAGCCAGTAAGCAGCACCCTTCCATGGCCTCTGCATCAGCTCCTGCCTCCAGTTCCTGCTCTACGTGAGTTCTTGTCCTGACTTCCTTTGCTGATGAAGAGCGATGTGGAAGTGTAAACCAAATAAACCCTTTTCTTCCCAAGTTGCTTTGGTTCTGGTATTTTATTGCAGCTACAGTAACCTCAACTAGAACAGTAGACCTAACTAGCCTGACGATGTATTAACCCAACTTGTAGCCCAGCCTGAGCCTCCTGAGTGCTTCGATCATAAGCATGCATCCCAACACCCATGCATCCCAACACCCATGCATCTCAACAC